ATGTGGGCCCAATATCCATACCACTTCGAGTGACAAGTATGAAATATCGAGGACGAAATTTCTATGAGGGAGGTAGATTGTGATATCCCGTTTCTAAATTAATATTTAATTATTAAAAATATTCAAGTAAAAGACAATTTTACCCGATGATATTTTAATGGTTTAAAGTTGACTTTTTGTTCAGGAAAGAATTTTGGGATTTGGGTGGTACCGTTGCGTAGAGCTTGACGATACAAGTTCGTAGACATGCAACACGCCCAATTCCGAGTTGTAACAAAGGAGGAAATGTCTAGAAACGAAAAGGATGTAGTGGGAATTTTAAAATTTGTTATTGCTACAGTATCGCTTCATCGTCAACTCCAAAAAGTGTGAGTATTAGACCTAGTGAGCTTTTGCCTAATCATACAGAGGGTGACATTGGCAAAGTCTAAAATGACACAATATCGATATAAGGGTTACATGGCCAATTGGTCCAAGGATGTTGAAATTGTAGTTGGTGAGTGAGTATTCTTGGAATTATCTCCTTGGAAGATGTAATGAGGTTCGAGAAACGTGGGAAGTTAAGTCCCCATCAGGTCAAGCCATTGAGAAAGCTACTTGGGAACCCGAGGAGTAGATGCGGGCCCAATACCCATACCTCTTCGAGTGCAGGTACGAAATTTCAAGGACGAAATTTTATAAGGGGGGTAGATTGTATTAACCCGATCCTAAATTAATATTTAATTATTAAAATATTCAAGTAAAAGACAATTTTACCCCGATGATATTTTTATGGGTTTAGAGTTGACTTTTTGTTCAGGAAAGAATTTGGGGATTTGGGTGGTATTGTTGCGTAGAGCTCGACGATACGAGTTCGTAGACATGCGACACACCCAATTCCGAGTTGTAACGAAGGAGGAAAGGTCTAGAAACGTGGGAATATTATTAGAACTGATAGAATATTAGTGGGATTTGATTTTCAACTTTAACTGCATATTTTTACAGGTGGAAGTTTTTGGGAATTCTCCGTTTTTCAGGGGAGACTCTGCCGGTTTTCTGGCAGAAGTCAAACCCTTAAGGCTATGTTTGGTACCCCTCACTGGACTGGACTGGCATAAATAATACTGGAAACCCATGTTTGGTAAAAGAGGAGACTAACTTAAATGAGACTATATAGCACAACAGTGATCAAAACCCTTCACTCGTTGCTCTAATATAGCGAAGTCGAAAAGTGGTTCACAAAATAGCGAACTCGCTAAATAAAATAGGCAAGTCTGAACTACACCAATTTCTCCTTCTTCTTCATTTGGAACTAGATTTTTTGGATTTTTGTTTTTTGTAAACCGTATCATACCAAAAACCATACCCAATTAAACACCCATCACCACCCAACCCACTGCATAACCCATAAACTTGGTGTCTCCACCTCCCCTACACAACCACAACATCCCTTGCACAACCGATTTCCACAGAGCCAATAATTCCATTTGAAAAAATTAAAAACCAAAGAGTGACATATTTTGGGGAAAAAAAAATTAAGGGATGAAGAATTTGGATTCTTGAAAATAGAAGAAGATTAATGGTGGGTCTGTCACCTTTGGAAATGTTTCTTCCCCAATTAATAGGCTGTAGCGTTTCCCTCTTTCATCGCCTCTTCCAACTGCGAGCAATCCAATAGGACCCCATCATCATCATAATCATCCACATCTTGTTCGTTTTGTTAATGTGGGTAAGAATCTGATGGCCTTAATTAAGGGCAAAGTGGGGTGATAGGGAAGAGAAGAGGCATGGTTGTGTTTGTGGAAAGCATGGCCTAAGTTGTGCGGTTTGGGGAGCTAGGCAAATGGGTTTGAGGAGGATTGTAGGTGGTGAGGTGACGGGGAGAGGAAAAAGAGAAGATATTTGTGGTTCTCTCAAATATTTTATTAGTTTATAGTTAATTAATTATTTTAGCTTAAATTTTATTTATTAATTGTTTATATCAATTATGATTTAATTATCTATTTTTTTTAAATAGAATTTTTATTATTTTTCAGAACATAAATTAACAAAAATACACTTGAAAATGGCTTATATATTATTATTCTAAAAAAGATATTAGAAAGCCTTTAAAAAAAAAATATTAGAATCCTTAATTAAATTTAAATATTACAATATTTATTTTTTAGTTCGACATAATACCAAACATAGGTCTTCATTATTTTTACAATCCAGCTTCTTAGTCCGATGCAGCACCAAACGTAGGTCAGTACTTAATCCAGCTTAGTCCAATCCAACCCAATCCAAGATAGTCCCAAAATTTAGTCCAGTCTATGACAGTCTGCCGTACCAAACGACCCCGGGTGTTTTTGTTTTTATTTTGTGGTTCAAGGTAAGAGGGGTAGTTTGGACAATTTGTGCCTAACACCTGCCAGGTGTTGGACACGCACAAGGTTCGACACGGATTCCAAAGTGGAATTTGGGTCGGGTCTTGAATTAATATTTAATTATTAAAAATAATCAAGTAAAAGACAATTTTACCCCGATAATATTTTAATGGGTTTAAAATTGACTTTTTGTTCAGGAAAAAATTTGGGGATTTGGGTGGTATCATTGTGTAGAGCTCGACGATACGAGTTCGTAGACATGCAGCACGCCAATTGCGAGTTGTAACGAAGGAGAAAAGGTCTAGAAACAAAAAGGATGTAGTGGGAATTTTAAAATTTGGTATTTCTACAGTACCCGGGGCTCCTATTTCTCTTCTTCTTCCTTGCAATACAACCAGATTTTCTGGTTTTTTTTTTCTTCTTCTGGCAACCACTTCCATCACTTTTTCTGGCGCCGTCTTATCCCGGTTGCCATCATAACCTTCACGAAATATCTTCCCCTCGTCCTCCTCTACAAAACCCACCCAAGACCTGATCTGATTCGCTGATGAAGACCTCGTTTGAAGCTGAAAAGGGTTAGGTTTTTTCGGCAGTGTTCTTGCATTTTCTGGCGATTCCGGCAATGGTTTTCGTCGAGTGAGGTATGAAACTTCATCTACTCTTCATGCTCTATCTGTTTTTGTAGGTATTATAGATCAATTTGAGGTTTTATAATTCATTCATTATACCCATATTTGGCCGATGGTTTCGGCTCCGTTCCGGCTAGTTTTTTGCCGAGTCCAAGACCAAAAGTGACTCACCTCGTTGTGGTGGTTCTAGAGGTATAGATATTGTCGGGTGTTTTGAGAATTTTCCGATTGCCAGAATTTTCTCAGGCCACCCACGCACTGTCGGTGCGTGAGCCAGGTCTGGGTGGCCCATTTGGTCCTAAAATGATCCCCATGTCGTCCTGAGCACGACGGTATGCTCGGATTCAAATTTGGTTATCGTTTGACAGTCGAACGACTTTTTACATATTAGGTGATACTCGGGTTCGATATGTTTGAAGCGTTAGATCGACTCCATTTCCAAATATGTTGATTTAGGAACCTCTAGGATCATGAAGGAACTCGCATATCAAAAATCGGAGTCCCGGATACTTCGAAACAATGAGTTAAGTTTACGTAAAACGGTAACCGTCTAATCGTGCGATCGAGAGCGATCCGACCGTTTGTTCGAGACCAAACTTTCGGGACATGTTAAGTAGACCTTGTTGGAGTTATAGGAATGTTCGGAATGGAATTTGGAGGCTGTGGGCCCCGTGGGCCCAATTGGTCAAATTTCTCAATCGGGATCAAACTGACCGTTGGATCATAACGAGAGTTCTAGGATGGGTTTACTCATGAGGTCGTGGGCCCTACAAGCCTAGTTGACTTAGATAGTGGGCTATGTCAGTCCACATTCGCCATTAGCTCGTCGAAAGCCTCAGGGGCTTGCATGGACCACCCACGTGTTGGCGAGAAGCCAAAACGTTTGTCGTCGGGTCTTCTATAGTCTGGACCCAGAACATCTAATTGAAACAATTTACCGTAAGGCTTTGCTCGATCATCATGGTAGATGTCCCCAATCAGAGTGCATGAGCTTTCCATGTGGCCAATGCAACCACATCGGTAGCAAGTGATGGGTAACTTCTCGTATCTGAGGGCCACCTCGATAGGTTCCCCATCTAGTCGGAGGATGAGGCTTCGTTGGAGTGGTTTGGTAAGGTCCACCAAAGTTCTGACCCTGAGGCAACTACCCAACTGCTCCTCCTTTCTGCTACGTACGGTCTGTTACCACGTAAACTCTAAGAGCCTCCCCGATCGTACTCCACAATAGGCAGGTCATGAAGGAGAGTGGGAGTCCCTTGACTTAGACCCAGAATTCCTGCGATGTGAGGAGGATTTTTGTTAGGTTGGAAACCCAATCTGCTTCTGCGAGAGCCACAAGGTAGCTATTGAAAAGCCACGACCCTCCTTTCTTGACCATGTCTCTTTCTTCCGGACTGTTGAAGGCGAAGGTGAAGAGATCATGTTCCAGTGCAACAATCAGCACGCTCGCCTTAGGCCTTCAGATTTTGGCCATCGTTTTCTTGAAAGCTTCCTTATTATAGGGTTTGTCAGTGAGCAATTTCCCTACAAGGAGGAAACGCTCTGTTTTAACTCCTCGCAGTTCTCTAAACTCGACAACAATCTCTTGTTGTTCATCCTCGATAAGTACAAACTGGGATGAGAACTGCGTAAGCATGTCTTCCATACGGCTAAGAAGAAGGATGAAGGTCGCCCACCATTGTTCTGCCCAAAGAGACAGAAATCTTGCCGTTGAAGAAAAGCTGGATCTTAGCATATAGACACCGCTGCGTCAGTGGTTTCCGTCGAGACTGCCAGACTCTCCTAGTGAAACAATAGAAAACCTTGGATATCGCTAGAGAGGATTTTTTAGATTTTTTAAAAAAACGTTAAGTATTAAAATTGATACAATTGCACACCTATCATTTGCATAGATTTTAAACAAATAAAATATTTTAGTCAATATATAAATATCAGACAATGAGCTTAAATGACATATAATACCCATCATCACTTCAATACAAAAATTACTTTAGTCTTTTTCTTAGAAACTTGAATTCTCATAAACTGAAGAAAAAAAACATTACACTTGAATTCTCATTATTAATGGATAATAAACATCATAATAAAGATAGCAATAACATTCGTGTGTTATAACATTTTATTGTCTTGTATGCACCATTGTACACTTTGCTGCTGACTTTCTTAGAAAACTGAATTTTTATTGAGTAGATCATAGTAAACCTCAGGCTTTCTGTACTCAGAGACATAGAGGTCCTAGAACATAAAAGAAAAGTTATATTAATTTAAGTCTTCAAAATAAAATACAACTCAAGTACATGAATAAATTTGAACTAGAAGAAATCGCATAAACTTGGTAAAAAGGGTACCTCTAGTTAGACACCCTTATTTGCTCATTATATCACATTTTTCAGGAGTTATGTTATTCTAGTTTTAACCTTATATAAATTAAGGGCAAATTTTTCTATGAAAATAAACCTATAAAAAGAATAAAATATATGTTACTCATGATACCCCTTAATACCTATACAGTTAAAATGTTAAACCTACACACTCATCTTCTTCCCATCAACAAATACCATCAGTAAATTCTATCTCACTTCACGCATGCATGCCCCCTCACAAATTCATGTAAGCAAGTGTGTAACTTAGAAATGATTATTGAAGTCTAACTAACGTTGGGTGATGCTGTGACCATTATTAAAAGAGTAGGAATCCAAGGACATTGTGAAACCTTAAGCCTTATACTGACTTGATTGGCACTGCAAGGAACAACCATTGTAACTTACACTACATATCTCACATTCACCTATTTTTGGCAACTTCAAGCTTCTTCATAGTTGATCAATTTTTTGACACCAATTAAAACTATAGAGGTTGAAATAAACAAATGTGAGAACCATGAATCTCCGTAGCCATACATGTGGCATGATTTAAACAAAGGGCTATTGGTGTCTTTACACTCATATCACATTTCTTACATAAACACCGTTGCTCCAGAGTCACTATGTCTAAGACCAGCTTACATTGGAAGTGTTTGTAGGTAAAATCAGAGTCTAAAATATCAATAATATCGACGAAATATCGAGGATATTATCGTTTTTTCGGGTCACAGATATTTTGGACCGTATTCATACACATATCGTATAAATATCGATAATATCGGAAAATATCGATGTCGATAATTTCGCTCACACTTCACCAATATTTTGTCAAAACATCGGTATAATATCTCTATTATATCGATGTAATGGAAAAAAGGAAAAAAAAAACACAAAGCACACACACAAAGGGGATTCGAACCCCTGCCATTTCACTCCTCCAACGCCTTAACCACCATGTTGCTTATGTTTTTGTGATAATATGCAAAGGGGAACTCTATGTGGTATTAAGTCACTCATGTATCTTACCATGCAATGTATAAAGTGTAAAATATTGTAGTAAATCATTATATATAAATGATTATAATATGTTTAATCTTCTTTTATTAATTACTACATATTTTCTACACTCACAGTGTTTGTCAGCTCACTATAATCAACTTAAATCAGTTAAACTCATCATGCATTGCATTTCCTTCCAATTGTTTTGTGATAAACTAATAGATAATTGACTAAATAAACATCCTCCAAAGTTTCAATAAAAATTTCCAAGTTTTTCTTACAATTTCCGTGGTTTCTATTCACTTTTTATTGATATCGATAATATCCTGATATTTCCATCGAAATTTCCATGTTTTTGGACTACCGATATTTCTGATACCATTGATATTTTAGACCTTTGGTAAAATCACCTTAAGGCTGAGCTTCATAAGAACTAGAATTCAATTCATAGATTGACTTATACTTTAAGGCTAACTAGGAAGCCTATTTCAACAAGGATTTGGTCATCTCCAAGCTATTATATAAAGACAACTCTCCAACCTGAGAGGGGATCCTCCCACGAGAACTCAACCCTACGATATCGATGTTTTATCTTGTTCATCATAATAATGAGTTGTAACATCCCGATCGAAAATAATTATTAAATTAAAAAGTTAATTAAGGAATTACATTGTTACTCTTAATGGTAAGCGTAAATTGGTCACTTTTAATTTGGAAAGGATTTTGGGGAATTGAGTTGCGCTGTTGAGTAGAGCTCACTCTCACAAGGTCGTAGACATGTAGTGGTCCCAAATTGAAGTTTTAACGAAGAAGTTGTGGTCAACGGAAATGTAGTGGCACAATCGTAAATTTTTTGAAGTTGGATTTTAAAATCTGATATGCTCACTCTCTCCCTGACGCATCCTCTCTCTCTCCCCCAACTTTCTCTCTCCTCCCTTGAGAAGAACCCAGAAGCAGGCACCTTTGACCGGCGAGATACTTGTCGTCCGGCCGTAGTTGGTCATGAGACCACCACCAAAAGGATGGGCCCGACCTCCTCTTTCCGTTCCTTCCCTTCTCCGATGAGCCCAGCCTCTCTAGTGCCGAAGAGAGCTCGAAAAAGGGCCAATTTTCCCCAAAGTTTTAGACGTCATTTGCGGGCGACTCTGGCAACGAAATTCGTCGATCCAGGTATGCTTTCTCACCCTCTCAATGAGCTCTAGCTATCTTTTCAAGTGGTTTGGGTCAATTTTGGGTTTTTGAAGCTCGATCTAGAACCTAGGTTTTGTCCGATTTTTTAGTTGATTTTCCGGCAAGCACTGGCCACCTTTTGGCAGGGGTCCAAGACCAAAAGTGACTCCCCTCATTGTGGTGGTTCTATAGGTATAGATATTGTTCGGTGTTTTGAGAAATTTCCATTGTCGGAAATTTCTCTAGACACCCAAGTCATTGCCGACGTGTGTGGCGGCGCGTGGGCCACTGTGTGATGACCCATTATGTTCTAAAATGTTCCCATTGTCGTCACGAGTGTGACAGTATGCTAGGATTTGAATTTAGTTATCGTATGACAGTCGAACGGATATTACGCCTAATAGGTGATATATGGGTTCGACAAGTTTAGATCGTTGGATCGTTTCCAACTTCAAATATGCCATTCCTCGTGCCTATGGGATCGTGTAGGAATTTGCGGATAGAGAATCAGAGTCTCGGATACTCCGAATCTTTGAGTCTAGGGTTAGGCGAAGCGATCGCCGTCCGATTGTGCGATTGGTTTAAATCCGACTGCTCGATGAAGACCAAACTTTCAGGATGTGTACAGTAGACTTTGTCGAACCTCTAAGAACTTTCGGATTTGAAACCGGAGGTGGTGGGCCCCGCTGGCCCCGTTGACCAAAAATGAAAAGTTTGACCAAACCATTTATCACGGGTCCTTTGAAACCGTCCCATCTTTGGAAAGTACTAGAATAGCCTTAGGACTTTTCTAAGGTGGCGGGTCCACGTTAAGTCCAAGGAACTAGGGTTTGATTTTAAATGCGCGGTTGAGGCCGTATAACGAGTTTTGATAGTGTTTGGACATTTGATTTTAGTGTGCATTACTCTCTCAACTTTTGAAAGGTATGTTTATAGTGCTTTAATTTTTGAGATTATAATATTGTTTAATTGTGGTTTTTGGCTGTTATATTGATATAAATGAAGCTTTGGGGATGGTGTGAGTGTACAGTAGACCTTGTCGAACCTCTAGGAACTTTCGGATTTGAAACTGGAGGTGGTGGGCCCCGCTGGCCCCATTGACCAAAAATGAAAAGTTTGACCAAACCATTTATCACGGGTCCTTTGAAACCGTCCCATCTTTGGAAAGTACTAGAATAGCCTTAGGACTTTTCTAAGGTGGCGGGTCCACGTTAAGTCCAAGGAACTAGGGTTTGATTTTAAATGCGCGGTTGAGGCCGTATAACGAGTTTTGATAGTGTTTGGACATTTGATTTTAGTGTGCATTACTCTCTCAACTTTTGAAAGGTATAGTAGACTTTGTCGAACCTCTAAGAACTTTCGGATTTGAAACCGGAGGTGGTGGGCCCCGCTGGCCCCGTTGACCAAAAATGAAAAGTTTGACCAAACCATTTATCACGGGTCCTTTGAAACCGTCCCGTCCTTTGGAAAGTACTAGAATAGCCTTAGGACTTTTCTAAGGTGGCAGGTCCACGTTAAGTCCAAGGAACTAGGGTTTGATTTTAAATGCGCGGTTGAGGCCGTATAACGAGTTTTGATAGTGTTTGGACATTTGATTTTAGTGTGCATTACTCTCTCAACTTTTGAAAGGTATGTTTATAGTGCTTTAATTTTTGAGATTATAATATTGTTTAATTGTGGTTTTTGGCTGTTATATTGATATAAATGAAGCTTTGGGGATGGTGTGAATTGATGCATAATTTGATGTTGAATGACGATAATTCCTGTGGGGTGAATGGACTTTTGTTCTAAAATTGGCTTTTGTGCTTTTGAATTTATTAAACATTTATGGATGATGTATTTGTCAATTTTATTTCCAAGCAAGATGTTTTTACATACTATTTTTCAGTTATGGCTTGGGATGATTTTAAATGTGTATGTATGTTTAAAATTGATGGCTAGTTTGATAAGTGTGAACTATTTCACGAATGAATTAAATGGAGGTTTATTAACAGTTTAGGATGAGGGATTACAGTATTGGATTATTAAGAATTGGTTCATTTATTATTTTATTCTCTAGTTTGGCGTTTGATTAGTTGTTGTATTGCTTTTATGAAAGTGATGAATTATGTATATCCATTTCTTTATTCATTGAATTATGAATACCAGATTTCTAAATGGTCTACTATGCATATTCAGATTTTAGTTTGAGAACGTTTTGAAGGATTATACATGGTTGAATCAAGTTAATGAGTTTTTTGATTGGTTTCGGTTTTTATAAGGTGACATGAGGATTTCAGAGAGTATATAGTCAATATTATTATCGGTATATTACTATTATTATTACTATTATTGTCATCATCATTATTATGTATAAAGGTTGCATGTTGAGTGGGAAGTGGGGTCGTATTTTATATATATAATATTGGGATCGATATGGGTTTGTGAATTGCACCATCATATGTACCTTCCCTGGTTCGATATGGATGATAACCACACGTGCGTTGAGGTATTTTCTGACGTATGAGATGTTGGTTACACGGGGACCCTTGGCAGAGTGTGTCGTAGGCCTTGACCGGCATTCCGCGCCCGTAAGACTTATTTTAGTCACACGTGTATTGAGGATTCTATCGTGCGTGTCTAGGGAGCAGTAGTCCCCCGATTGGACTACTCATTCCCTAGCCACATGAGTATTGAGGATTCTGCCATGTGGTCTAGTAAAACAATCCCCATTGGATTGTTTCCCCCCGGTACATGATGTGTACTATCATATATACCTCCCCTAATTTTGATACTTGATATATTAGACACACGGTAACTCTTCGAAGGTGTGCCGGGATACCGAACACCCTTGACTGGGTGTACCGAAGGCCTTAACCGACAGTCTGCGTGCGTAGGAGGGATATTCAGCCGCACGTGTATTGAGAATTCTACCGTGGGTGTCTGGGGAGCAATAGTCCCCCGGTTGGACTGTTCATTCCCTAGCCACATGAGTATTGAGGATTCTGCCATGTGGTCTAGTTAAAATGATCACCGTGTTGGATTGTTTTCCCCTGGTACATGATGATGATGGTGTGGGTTTATATATATATATGGTGAGTTTTTTGTGTTATAAATTGGATTATTTAGATACTGGATATTATTATTATAATGTCTTACATGTTCATTTGAAGTTATTATATTTATTAAGTGAATAATGTTTATTGATTTATTCGAAACCTGGTTGTGGGTTGAGTTTTTATTATATAAATTTATGACCGTGTGTTTTGGGATTTGGGATAGTGGTTTTGAGTTCCAACCGCACGGGCGTTGAGGATTCCACCATGCGTGTCTGGGGATTAAGTTTCAGATGTGCGGGCGTCGAGGATTCCGTCATGCGTGTCTGGGAAAGGTGTATATGTAAAGATAAAGGAATAATGGGAACAACGGTGGGATTTTCTTGAGCATGCGCTTGGTGAATGCTCTGCATAGGTGTGATCTATGTTATGATGCTTCGACAATATCTGTATGTTTTTGAAATGTGATCCTTTTTATTTGGAAGAACTACGTGTGGCTTGATCCTTCTGTAAGGGTACGTAGGCAACTTGGGTTAACCTAGGTTCAGCCGTGAAATAGTTATTTTTGTTGGGTCTAGTTGTGAATTTGTCGGTGGACCTGAAGCCCAATTGAAACTCAGGTGAGATTAAATGCTTGTTTATATTCTAGTTTTATTGATTAGTTGTGATTACATTGTGTTTGTGGCTATGACGGGTCTGAAACCCGTTTTGGATTGATGTTAGATTTTTGGCCTGAGTCTTTAGAACTGCTTGTGTTTGTGCTTGGTTGGTAGTCTTTGTGTGCTGAAAGTTGGGAAGTTATTTTATTGTTTTTCTACAGGTTAAAAGTGGGAATCGTTCCAGTTACAGAGGAGACTCTGTCGAATTTTTTGTAGGAGTCAAGCGGTTTATCCTTTTAAATTGGGGTTATGTGGCTTTTTAGTAAAGTAGGTCCGACATTGGGTAGATGTCGGACGGAAAACAGGGTTCGTCACAGATTCTAAGGGGGAATCTGAGGCGGGTCCTATCAGTTATGGCTGTAATTAGGATATGGGTTTTGAGGATCAAACACTTTGTACTCTTTTATGTCCTTCTTCAATAGCAAAATACCTAATACCCTATGGATGTAGCCTAATTATGGGTGAACCACATAAATCTTACATATTGCTTGATTACATTTTGTCATTTAATTTTTATTCCAAGTAGCAATCCCTAAGCACTAGAACTTGTTCTACGGGATGACATGCTTGGTCATACCAAGTTGGTTTGGAAGGATTACTAGACCTCGATCTTGAAGAGGTCATCTTGTTGTTGAACCAATTATAGGCATCAACATGAAGCATGTGTCATATTAGCATCCACATGTAGAAAATAAAGCTTCTAGGTGGTTCTTGATAGTCAAATTTGAACTCTTAGCTAAACTGAGATAGAAATTATCAAAATGAATGAGAATGATGACATATTATTGATTATTCTGGACATACTTGATAACATTTGTTCTCTTCACAATGTCAAGGTTTGTGCATAGTTATGTTTTGATTCTCAATACGAATTTTCTCACATTTTTAAATATGGACTTTAGGAGCAAGACTAATAAAAAAGGTAATTAAAAAAAAGAGAACCAAAGAATTAAAGCAGATAATGATAGCCTACCTGCAATGCGAAGGCCATGTGAATAAGCGTTGCTTCAGACCAAGGCTTCCCAATTAGTTGAAGACCAATTGGCAAACCTGATTTATCATATCCAACCTACCAAGGAAAATTAGTACAAATTAACTTCTTATTCTACTCACATGAAAGTTTGACACTAACAAGTAATGATAAGATCATACAGGAACAGTCACCGCCGGTAATCCCAAAAAGTTTCCGGCTATTGAATATCGAACAAGTGCAGCTAAAAAAAAAAAAAAGTTGGTTTGGAAGGATTACTAGACCTCGATCTTGAAGAGGTCATCTTGTTGTTGAACCAATTACAGGCATCAACATGAAGCATGTGTCATATTAGCATCCACATGTAGAAAATAAAGCTTCTAGGTGGTTCTTGATAGTCAAATTTGAACTCTTAGCTAAACTGAGATAGAAATTATCAAAATGAATGAGAATGATGACATATTATTGATTATTCTTGACATACTTGATAACATTTGTTCTCTTCACAATGTCAAGGTTTGTGCATAGTTATGTGTTGATTCTCAATATGAATTTTCTCACATTTTTAAATATAGACTAGAGGAGCAAGACTAAGAAAAAAGGTACTAAAAAACAGAGAACCAAAGAATTAAAGCAGATAATGATAGCCTACCTGCAATGCGAAGGCCATGTGAATAAGCGTTGCTTCAGACCACGGCTTCCCAATTAGTTGAAGACCAATTGGCAAACCTGATTTATCATATCCAACCTACCAAGGAAAATTAGTAAAAATTAACTTCTTATTCTACTCACATGAAAGTTTGACACTAACAAGTAATGATAAGATCATACAGGAACAGTCACCGCCGGTAATCCCAAAAAGTTTCCGGCTATTGAATATCGAACAAGTGCAGCTAAAAAAAAAAAAAAAACATTGGTGAGAGTCAATCAAGTGTTGTTTCATTAGTATTATCAGAAGATGAAAAGATTGAGATTGTTTACATCTAGGTTCAACAAAACTGAAGAAGAAAGATGTAGGCTTATGTTATTTTCATACCTCCATTGATGTAGTCAAGCTCACCAGTGTTAAGAGCATCATCCAAAATTGTGTATGCAGTTACCCTGTTATGTATGACATCGAGCTTATCATGCACTCTGTATCTCTCAAAACTTTAGTATGGTGTTGGCAGTCCCGATCTCTTGGACTACAGGGGTCCAAGAGATTTGTGGTCACTCACCGTTAGATGTAAATTCAACGGTTCACTCACTCTTGCACTCTTTTTAAGAAACTTTTTTGAACCATTGGATTAATATCCAACGGTGGGTGACCACAATCTCTTGGACTCCTGTGGTCCAAGAGATCGGAACTGATGGTGTTGGTATCTAAATGTTATACTAAAAACTTAGTTTATGACATTATCATAGAATTACACTTTACATATTAAGGAGGAAACAATACCCTACTGTCGGGGAAACAATGACATCTGCCTGAGTAAACAAATTCATGTGGAACTGCATCTGTCGGTTCCTGTAAATAAGTTTAGTTGATGTCAAAAACAAATATTAAACAAATCCACCAAATAGTATCGGTTAACATTACCATCAATAGGATATCCAGAAAGTATGCATTATGAGCTTATATGTTGCACAATAGTGCTATCACAAAACTAGAAAATTTTAGTATAATTAGAAAATATATGTATAATTTACTCACAAAAAATCTAATTTCAACTCTAGCAATTACAGAATGGTAAACAAAATGAAAAGTAAAAACTGAAAACAATTTTGAGAAGTTCTTTTTTTCAATTTTGGTTCATGCATTCTCCTTCATTTCTCCCTCTTTTCTACTACCACCATTCCTCTATCATTTTTCATTCATCATGTCCCTATATTAATTTCCCTCTGACTCTAGCATAAAAAGGAAAACTATAGAGAAAATATATGTATAATTTACTCACAAAAAATCTAATTTCAACTCAAGCAATTACAGAATGGTAAACAAAATGAAAAGTAAAAACTGAAAACAATTTTGAGTAGTTCTTTTTTTCAATTTTGGTTCATGCATTCTCCTTCATTTCACCCTCTTTTCTACTACCACCATTCCTCTATCATTTTTCATTCATCATGTCCCTATATTAATTTCCCTCTGACTCTAGCATAAAAAGGAAAACTATAAACTATAAACAAAATGGTTATCAAACATGCCATAAGATTTTAACTTTTAAAACAAACGGTAGTGTCTCGAGAGCATAAATAAATTTTCCCATAAAATTACTATATTTAATTTTTTTAATGTTTCTTTTTCTTTTTATATCAATCTATGTATATTTTTCTTCGATAAAAGTTATTAGATAATCTTCAAAAATACAAACTTAGACACCAACAAGACATCTAAAGCACCAAGAGGGCAACAAAACTAACACACTAAGAAACAAAACTAAAGTCAACAAAAGCCGCACCAACAAATACTAACCCACATCACTACAATTACGTATAATCTCAATCAAAGCCCATAAATCCAACATAACTGAAACGCTAAAGCAAGCCTACTTGAACACTATCATGACCACCTAAAGAAGCGTCGTCCCAGTCACACCCCCACCGAATAGTCTTTAAGCGAAAGTAAAACATGTGATAGAATTGAGTAAAACATAGTTGCGCATAACAACAAACATATATGCCAAAGCGTTGTCCCAGTCACACCCCCACCGAATAGTCTTTAAGCGAAAGTAAAACATGTGATAGAATTGAGTAAAACATAGTTTGCAGCAATCTAATTGAGCATAACAACAAACATATATGCCAATCCAACTATCATGGCAAAAAAACAATTGGGTAGGTTGCAACAAACTCTATCAAATATGAGGTAGAAATAAATTTAGACAATATGAGAAGTGTTAGAGATAGGGTTTTGGGAGAATGATTTGATTGAGGACATAGCCCAAAAGAGGTGATGGGGAACTTTGATTTGAGCATGGCTTAGAAGAAATCACCACAAAGGGCTTCTTATTCAAAATGCCCAAGGAACTTATTCACTTACCCAAAATAAAATGGAAGATGAGAGGAGAGGAGAAGGGAGGAGGGGTAGTGACAGTTCTTCCTCCTCCCACATCTATTGAGTTTTTTATTTGGGAATTAGAGAGGGGGAGATAGTGCGGCTAGGGATTTTAACTTTACAATGTCTATTGTTCACCCTATGTATGTATTGTTCTTCATTTCTCCTCCACATCGTGTATCTCTTTTCATTATCTCATTTCCAAATTCCTTTTTTCTTTTCTTTTTCTCATCTCCGATAAGCAACAGCCATTTCCACCCTTCTAAATTCTCGACTATTAGAGTAAGGAACCGCATGCTGATTGCTCCTTTTTATGTACATTTTTTTCTGGTTACATATATATATATATATATTTAAAACTATAAAAAAACATGACTGATGTAGAACAACAAACTACATGGGCCCTGAGCTCCAATTTGGCCCATAATACGTTGTTTCATTATAAACCTGTAACTACAAACTACGCGCGCGGCAGTACTAAACCTCCAACTACAAAATAAAGAGCAAGTATTATTTGATGAAGCTATTTTAGTCATTATAAACCTAGCCCTATATTATTTGATGAAGCTACAGTGTGCTACAGTGTTTTTTATGTTTTTTTTTTTTTGGGGGGTTTGTTTTTCGTCTTTTCTACTTGTGGTTTTTAATGTGCTACAAAGTTCTTATCGAGGATGGGGAGCCGGGACGGGGGCGGGAATGGGGATGGTATTGTCATACCCATGATCAAACTGGCTCATTGCCATCCCAACTCCTTATAAGCCCTTGCTAGGTTTCTCAACTTTTCCAATGTGGGACATTTTCACCTTCACATTCTCACACGCCCTCGCACTTGTGAGGAATTTTCAAGCCTAACACGTGGAGAACACATATTAGGTGACGTGGAGCATGTGTGACCGTTGGGCTTTAACACGTGGGCAACCCGTTTTGATATCATGAAGGAAGTTGAGGTTCCACCCTAAAATCAATTGGCGATAAGGGGAGTAGCCCAACACTTTATAAGTCATTACTAGTTTTCTCAACTTTCCAATATAAGACATTTTTACCTTCACATTCTCACAGATTCCAATCTTTATGTGTTCATAAGCTATTGTTTGATTGCCTACAATTGTTACGGTGTGTCGATTACTTGTTTTTCTAAACAACATTAAATATATTAAAATTAAAATTAAAGCATTTGAATTGTCAAAAAAACAAAAAACAAAACAATGATCCCTCGACAAGAACAAAAATCCTTAGGATGAATTTAAAAAAAAAAAGAGAACTTTACAATGAAACAAACGTCGTTTAGAAAAATACATGTTATTATAATTTCAAAGTGTAACAAAAACAAAAGTGAAAATTTGAGAAAGTTTAGGTGGTGTTTTCAAATTTATATCATATTGAGACAGTGGTCAAGTTTCCAAAAATAAGAGTAGCAAAAGAGGTGGTTGTATCACTCGTAAAAGATGATGGAAAAGCAATCACAGTTCGACTTTTAGTTTGCAATTGTTAGATAATTAAAGAGGACAGCATGCCAGCATCTAAAGTTGCAGAACTTAAATGAGTGACAAGGGTGCTGAAAAGGCCCGTGAGGCATTGAATTTGTGGCAAAAGAAAACATACAGCAATAGCAGCTAGGATGTGATAGGGTTTAGGTTCATAGACGCAGTGTCTTTTTTTTTTTTGGATTTTTTTATCTGTATAAATAAAGGATCAGTATCCCTTTTCAAGAACACTCGTATTTGAAGCTTTTAGCAGTCACAATATTTTCCAAAAGAATGGTACTTTTTGGCATTGCTAATTAAGAAGCACTTACCTAATTTTCTGAGCCTTTATATACTCTTTACTGCTGAAAGCACCATACACAGCAAGTGCTACCCTTGCATCCCATCCTAAGTCTTTGAAATCCCTATTTTGATGAGTTTGTAATGTCAGCATTTGGATTTCTTGCCTGTTAGAAGAGGATAGTTGGGAGAAAATCGGGGTGGTCAACAACATACAGCTTTTCCAGAAACGAACTAAGCGAAGTGGTGCACTCCGATCCGATCGTTACATAATGTGCCAGGCGCATCATCTCTATCTCTGGTATGGTCACCTCTACAGTCTTACAGACGAAGAAGAAAATCAAAACGTTAGGACGTAGTCAATACCGTCTTTATCGACTATATATTAATCATGAAAAGTGTATAATTTCTCATATTGCTTCCAAAGCAAGCAATGGACTGCCGGTACCTTCCAACCATATTGCTTCTGAAGCCTTTCCAGAGCATTTGAACAGCATTCTCTGATATCATCACTACAATCATTAAACCACTAATTGGATCCAATTAGTGGTTTCACAAGCAAATCGCTGAATATTAGAAGGAACTCACATTTAATGTATAGCAATGATTTATCATTGACCATAGAAATGTAACTTTGATCATACATGTGACCAGGTCAAGAACAGGTCACTAACCTCGCCATACTTTGCCAATTTGATACTAGATATCGGTTTAGTTGAGTTCAACAGAGGAAAATTTACTTTGGGCTGGAACAGAGAAAGACAATTAAGGTAAAGAAAGGTGACCGTTAAGACTACTATAAAAAACAAATAAGTTTGTAATCTAATTAATTTTTCTATTTGGTAACAAATAGTTGTAATAAGTTCGCAGAACAACATTCTTACCGATACAGAAAGTTGACGTGGTGGAAGTTGGCAGCTAATAGCTGCATAGCTGCAGATAGATAGGTAAAAGCTTTAACATCAAGCTTATAGAAGGCATCTAAGAAAAGCATATGAAAAAGAATACTGACACTATAAATGCATCCTCAACAGTGCCTGCTAGTATTCCAACCATTCCAACTGACCAATTCAGAGGAAGAACACTAAAGAAAAAACCAAATCAGTCTGTAAGACTGTAAAGATGGTAATAAACCTTCAAACAAATGACTACTAGAAAAATATTTAAAGACTAATTTACCCAGAATGAGGTACTCGTCCGAATGTTGGTTTCAAGCCAACAACACCACAAAGAGCTGCAGGCATCCGTACAGATCCTAATCATACATTAGACATGAAATACACCTGTCAGTTACTTTGCGATATTCATATCTAACACTCACACACATGCATGTTTGAGAAAGAGTTTGCCAAATTTCCTACAGCCATCATAGAGAAGAGGCAATCGGCCATATGTAAAGATTGCACATTAAAAAGATGAGTAAATATAATGATGTTGAACCCCAAGTCTCTGAAAAATCAGGTAAAAGGACTACTGTTAAATTAAAACATGAATTTCTTTTATGGGAGAAGTTACCTCCTCCATCAACACCAAGAGCAACAGGGCACAATCCGGAGGCAACCACTGCAGCAGATCCGCTGGAGGAACCTCCAGAGATCTTGCTGCGGTTGTATGGATTTCTAGTTGCCCTACAGGACAGCAGATAAAACATTAACATGCTTATCATAGTGGTTGAGATCTTGGAATTAATTGAACAAAGAAAATGATAGGGAAAATTTCGCTACAAAAAGGGCACGTAGCCTGGTAAATCATGTCATCAGTTGATATGGACTCAGAGCAGAACAGAATATTCATAAGAATGGCAGACCTCAATATAGGATAAGGCATTATTCAGTTTCTGGAAAACAATGTGGGGTTTTCTTACCCATAATGGGGATTTATCCCGCTTGTTCCAGCTCCAAGTTCATGCATATTGGTTTTCCCAACAAGTACAGCACCACATAGTCTGAGGCACTTAACGCAGCATGCATCATCTGTACAGGGTCTTAGGTTGTGCATCCACTTTGTACCTCCTAGTAAAGTCAGTTTTTAGATTGCAAAACTATTACTCATTTATGAACTAAAAAACTCATTGTTATAATGTATACGATACGAATATTGGGTTGACATGTATAAATAATCCTGTCACTGGAAAACCTGAAATGTAAGCTACCTGTAGTTGGGTATGGTAAGCAATCTATTTCATCCTTGATTGCAATTGGGACCCCATCAAGAGCTGAAATAGGAACTCCTGGAGAGCAACCAGAATGCGGACAGTATAAGAATGTATAGCAGGGCTTGATCCAACATTTTGTAAATGAAATACCAACATTAACATAGATAATGGAGATCCACTGTAGAAGTACAAAATATGTTATTTATTAGGTTACAAAGTAACAGTTAGCTCATATTCCTTGACACACTTTCAAAACCAAGAGATACTGAGTTCAAATACTTGCAATTGAAACTTCTCAAGTTATGTTGAACTCCACAACCATTGTAGAAAAGCATTTCATGACAAGGGAGCAGTTCTAGCTTCTACTTACTATTACCATAGGAAGTACAGTAGTAAAGCATTCCTAATTTGATCTCAAATGCTGGTGTACTATTAATGTGTTTAAGACTACAATTTAGTCTTCACAAGTACCTTGTTCATACCGAAGAGTTGATTCAGTTGCTTGCTTTAGAATATCTTCAGCTTTGTAGTTGATAAAGAATGACATCTGTAATGGTGGAGTGGAAGATTCATGGATGGCAGCTATAAGGTGCTCTGCAACCTGTAGAAGTAACAGAAAAAAAAACAAAAAACAAAAAGCCACAGGAGGATATGAAAGTATAGAATACAGTTTCTTTTCAATTTTAGTTAGGAACTTGTCACTAGATAAGTAAAGGTAAGAGTCCGAACAAAAACATAAAATTGGGTAAATAACCTCTTATATGTCTCTTTGGGATTTGGCAAAGATCGACTCAAATCGCTCTGAAAACAATTTACTGATATGTACAGAGTGCGCAAATAACAGTTATAAAAAAAGGTATCAAAAATATGACATACCGTTCGAGGAGTTATTTCTCCAGAGGTATAGGCTCTTGAATAATCCGATATTGTCCAATGACGAAAAGAAAAGTTTGAACCATTTAATGTTTTTTCTAAGGACACAGGCAGACATTCAATTGCCTGTTGAACTAGTTCGGGTGGAGACAATTCAGACCCTACTTGTTTGACATCTTGTTCTTCTTTATCTGCATTCACAAGCTTAAGTTAAAATTAAAAGGAAATGTATATTCTCATTTCAAATTCCAGAGTGAGAGGTAAAATTTATCTGGTGCGTAAAACCTATTTGTAGGACAACAGATGATGAAATTTGAAATGTCAGTGCCAGTTTACAGAATCAAATCAGATTCCATCAAGGTGTCAGGTGAATAACCTCCATTTTGAATAAGCTTCAGCTTTTGTAGCAGCTGATTAAATTTTCATTTCTAATTGGTACCTTAGCATAACAAATGTACATTTAATTGATGGTTTATTGATATTCTGATACAAAGTGATAAACCAGCTACATTCAGCAAGATTTAGGGGTAAAGATAAGGTCAAGAATCCATACCATCAAAAGGATGTAGGGGAACATAGACGGGTGGCTCCTCCAGCTCAGCATTTGTGACCAGCTGCAAAGTTCAAAGACATTGTTGGCAATTTAGAAGCTATTTCCTTGATTATTTCATTGAATTGCAGTACTATTTGTGCATAAGTGACTTAATATTCCAGGCCCTGCAAAAATATTTCCAATTACTAGACTTGGAGTTTTTTTGTTTGGTTCTCATTCCTCACAGTTGTTAATTGGAAAGAATAGGAACAACATTCCTTTCAATACCAACACCAAGGACAACAAGGTGGTCAGTGAAATTTCAGCTAAATTCTATTTGCACCCAAGTTTTTATGGCAAAAGTACGGCGGCACCTGTGTTGTGCAATTTTTATGTTGATGTAATTAATGGTGGATTATACAGGTTGAATTGTCATAGAGTTGGCATTCTACAGGGTGTACCCTATTACTGCAATAAAAAAATTACTGCAAAAGGTTATATCATAAAGTCCTGTGAATGGACCTAATGTACTGCTTAGATGCATTACCACAGAAACCTCATAACTTGAAATAAGAGACAAATAAAAGGCACGTGTGTACCTTATGAATTAAGTTATCCCGTTTCAGTATAAACAATAGCAAGGTCCCAAAGATCCGTGACTCCAAAAACCAGGCAAACACTTTGACCAGGAATCCAGCCAAACGAGGAGCTGCAGAACAAATGACATTTAGTTGTAATTTGAAGAAATCAAACAGTTATAAATTTGATTAAAGCACATGCTTCAATACAACAGATTTAAGAAAATCAGCCACAGAAAACACACATAGAACAAGCAAATCCAGCTTTTCTTTATTTAACAAAAAACCAAAAAACCAAAATCAAATTGTGAGTTATTCCATGTACTAGTCTTTCTGAACAACTGGTGAAGACCTGTCTAAACATGATCAATGAAAACAATTTATGTCAATGATCAGTTCCATACTCAGCGAATGTTTCGATATTTTATAATAAAATTCGAGTGATAAAAAGAAAAATGGATAAAAGGGGAAACTCAACCTGACAATACAAGCTTAAAAATTCCTATGGACTTCTTACTTCATGTATCTAACAACCGTGATTGGTAGGACAAGACTCGTGATCCGTATAGGCGAAAGACAGCAGAAAAGAAAAGAAAAGCAAAAACAATATTGATCTAAGAGTTACTGATTAGCTTTTATAATTTCATTGCTTATTATAGTGTCTGTAATTAACAATTCATTCAGCAGAAAAGTTAGTGATTAATCTAGTGTTTACCAAAAAGCAAAAACTGATTACTAATATCAACATTCTCAGAAAAACAGGACTTTGAAATGATATGAAAAAGTAAGTACGTACCTTTGACATTGGCTGGCAAATAGAGTTCAGAGCTGGCAGGAGTTAGATCAACATCCTTTGCAGGCTTGAAAACCACATGCGCTTCCTTCTTGAACAACAACCCCATTCTCAAAATTAAACTCCTCTGGTTTTGGACAATGTAAACCCAATTATTTCATATCTTTATAGGGAGGGAGGGAGAGAGGGAGAAGAAAAAGAGGGATGGCGGAGAAGGCAAGGCCAGTAATCTATAATCTATGTATTCTATATTCTATATTCTATATATTATAGAGAGGGAGGAGAGGGGTGGGGGGGAGGGGGAGAGAGCTAAGAAAGATCCTAGTAGAAGTTATATATATATATGTATATATTTGGTTGGAGGGTTTAGGGAGGGAGAAATTAAAGAGTTGCTTTCAGAAGGTTTGGAATTTATAACTCCACACACACAACAATGGAAGACGAAACTTTTTTTCTTCTCCCGGGAAAAGCACATTTTCTCAACCAGCCTCTATTATTTTGCTTATTGTTATCTATTCTTGTCAGCCACGTCGCCCACTCTAATCATATAATTATTAATAATTGCGAGCGTTTAGTTGGATGGAGTGCTGGCTGGTAAAGATTATGACATTTCGTTCAAATTTCATCTTCTGTCACTCAAGTTTCTTAATATTGCTTCTATTCTGCATTCCTACCAATATTAAACTAACCTGATTAATGGTGCAAATTGACAATTCAATATTTCTAACTTCAAATATTAAAACTTTCACATTGATTTTTAAATCCAAAACATTATCTTAAAATTTAATTTGAGGTAGATCATGTGGGTTAGGCCAATTGGCCAGGGCAACTTCCTCGTTGCACCTAAGTTCGAATACCCTCACACGCGCTTAGATTAAATTAATTTAGTTAGGCCATCGATTGTATAAAATTAAAATTAAAATTCAATTTGAGAATTTAGAACTCCAACCTCAAACTCCCAAACTCAAACCAGAATCTTGATACTCCTCATATGATTCAAACACCAAACTTCAAAAAAAAAATTATTAAAAAAAAAAAAACACTTAAATGCATGTGGTCCCTAACTTTTATTTTTTATTTTTTATAATGTGGTCCTAACAACAACGCATCTTGTTGCTAACGCCATTGATCAGTAAACGCAACTACTTGAGCGGGCATCTAAATTTTCATTTTATAAATTTATGTTTTTTTAATTCTTTTCAAGTATAAAATCTGCTTTAACTAATTAAGGTATTGTGGATAATTTAAGTAATAACTTTTTAAGGGTTGTTCTAATTGACTCATGTTGGTACAGGATCTTTCTTATGTATTTGTACTCTTGTGAGTTTAGTTTAATTTAAGTTAATCTATTACTCAAGTTAATTTAGGGTCACATTAACATGTTTTTTTTTTATATTTATAATAAAATGAAAATCAATAATATTACCATAATTAGAACATATATTTAAACTTTGGATATACACATGTTATTTATTTGTAGAAAGGAAGTCATTGTAAAAGTCTTGTAGCTCAAGTAGTTAAGATTACTTTGTATCATATGCCCTATGTTTCATTACCCGCCCCGTTGACACCCAAACCCGCCTTTCTAACACACAAACCTCCCTTGGTTCGTAATTATGTTCTAGTGAGTATCAGACCCACCTTGTGGTTGTTAGCGTGCATATTTAACTTAGTACATGCAATATCTTTTGCTAATATCAATGATGAGTAGATAGTTAATGTGATATGTAAAATAATATAGTATAGTAATTAAATTTATGAATTTGTATTAAGTAAAAAATTAATTAAAATGTCACCGTAAAGAAAAATAAATTTCAATATATGAGGTGCCCCCTCTGTAAAAAAAAAAATTATGGCTCCGCCACTGCCCGATGACACCCAAACCTGACTTGATTACTGCCAAATTTGGCCCACGAGTCACCAAGTCAGTAATTATGTTCTAGAATTAATAAATTGTCACGAAACTAGATGTTATGAGTTTTTTAGAATGAACAATAATATATTCTTAGCATTTTGTGAGGAGTTATAAACTAAGACTGGCTAAGCTCTTAAGTATGTCACAAGCCAAGAAGAAGTTACTATCTTTTTGTATATCTCATAATGAAAGAACTGTCTGGCAGGTGTAAGATTCCAAGATTTAGTACATATTATCTCATGGTACTTTAATCATGTTTTAAACGAAGTTTGTTTGCTTGAAATGCAAATTTTTCATCCTCCTAACTTTGTTGATGTGCCTCTTGAGATTCGGTTCAACATGAGATGATATCATTTTTTTCAAGGTAACTTTGCAATAGTGATTCCGTTATTTCTAATTTGAATATATCATTTATAAGATAATTTTATTATATTTGCTTATAATGGAAAAGCAAAAGGTAAAATAAAATGAAATGAAATGAGAATCAGACACCAAACAATTTTCAGTTTTTATTTTCCTTATTTCATTTGAAAACTAAAAGAGTTACTAATTTGTTTCTTAAAAATAATGTCAACTAAAATGTGAAATGATGCTACCAAATGAGGCCTTAAGAAGCCATTACATAACTAACAAGGCTTAAACCCATTGTACTTTCACTCAAATTTCACTTTCCCCTTTGCAATCTCAAGTGACTCAATTTGCCCCATGTCGTTTTTCTTTGTTTCACGTTACTCTATTCCGTCAACTCAATTAAATATCTGTTAATTTGGTTGACGTAGCACAAATGGGTGCCCAATTTGTTGGTTACGTTACATGTAAGCAATACAGATTTAAAAAATTAATTGCAATTATTTCAATTCAGTTATTAATATTGTAACATTTCAAAAATATTAAAGTTATTTATCATGTCTATTCCACGTGGACCAATGGGGTGTTAGAGGAGTACTGCTATTTCCACCCACTTGTCCTATTTTCCCACTTACTTTTATCTTCAAAATTTTAGAGACAAGTTTACCCTTTGTAAAATGACCCTTTACCCCTTTCTCTTTGAAACAGAATATTTTCATTTCACCCAACGCCAACGGCGTTTTCCTCGAATTTGAACAATTATCTAAATGGGATTGAATTCTTTTCCAGCAAAGCTTTTTTTTAACTTCTTCTTCGTTATATGGGGGGTTCTATTTACCTCAGCAAACATCTCATGCCATCTAACAAGCCCGCCACAACAAATCTGCAGAAATGGTTGAAGAAATTGCTAATCTAGTGGGAACAAGGTTGCTGACAATAGCTCTTTGATTGTGGGTTAGACAGAGTATATATCTTCACTGTCTTTCTTGGATATCAGACCACAAACTGACTGCAATTCCAAATTATGCTTCTAATTGGTTGCCTTTCTATGCACTCTTCTTTCACTCCAATTTTGATCTAGTTCCAATTATCACTTCTGTGCAACCTTATAGAGAGAGGGTTGTTTTCCATAGGGACGAGGGGCAGCTTTGGGGTGGAATCTTTTTTAAGTTTTTTTAATTTATAAATATTATAGTTTTTTTTTTGTTCCCATAATATTTTAGGTTTTGCTTGAATTAATAATGAACGGGTGTTTTAGAAATAATGGTGGGTGGAAAGATAAAATTGGGTTTTTTCAAATTTATATGATGGGTGAAAAGATAAGGTGGGTGGGGGAAGTAGGATAGAGAGGTGGAAATAACAGAATTCTAGTTGGATTAGCTCAAGCCTTTAGTGTGCTCCCAAGAAGTCTGGGTTCAAGTTCTCATAGTACCCGTGTGTGTGAGTTTTCTCCCTCCCTTTCTTAATATTGATAAAATAAATAAATAAAATCTTGTAAAAAAAAAAAAAAAAAAACGTTGGCAAAGAGTGCGCCCAATTTATGCCATGTCAGCCAAATTAAATGTTTCTTTTAGAACCAATTGAGGGACACAAAATAAAAGCACGTGAAGCAAAATGATTCGGCTGAGAGTACAAAGACAAAATGAGATTTGAGTGAAAGTGCATGGGCCAAAGCAGTTATTAAACCTAGCTAATAATGAATAGAAACAAAATACTTCAAAAAATAAAAAGAAACAACTCAACTTGTGAAACCTCAATATAAATTGGGGTTTTATCACAAGTGATCCTTAAACTTTAAAAAAAAATCTCATTTTAGTTCTCAAGTCAATTTGTGGTCCTTATTTTTTGGTCTATGCATAATTTTGGTATCTGATGTCACATTCCAACATAACTTTTGTTAGATTTGGTCACATGTCATCACATGACAAACTTTAAATGAATATTTTTATCAAAATATACCTCATTTTTATCCTAAAATGTCACATTCCAACATAACTTTTGTTAGATTTGGTCACGTGTCATCACATGACAAACTTTAAATGGATATTTTAATCAAAATATACCTCATTTTTATCCTAAAAACTCACGCTTTGCTCAACAAAGTTTTCTTCTCTCCATTTATGGTTTTACATTTGAGTTCTATCAAGAGAACATACAGTCTTATTCAGCAAATACATTAGATTATTTTTTGTCGTGGGTGGATAGGTTGTACATGTATTTTGATGAATTGATCAAGTGTCATTCAGAAGCTTATATTTTATATACAAAATCTTTGACCTATTTACTAGTTGTTATCCCTAGATTAAATTGTTTTTTTTTTTTTGATAGGATTGTTTGTTTTATTATGTTTTGTGAGAATTGTGAAGGATTTGTGAAAATATGATAAACTGAGCTCAAAACGACAAGAAGATGAAAATTGGAGATTAATTGAAAAGATGCCGAAAAGCACAAGAAGAGGAGCTGAGATTTCTTGCCAATCAACTTTTTTGCGCTCTTAGAAGGTTTTTGACAGAACATCAACTTTTTAGAATAATTTTACCTCAAGGACAATTGAAGAAGAAAGTTAAGACATTGAAGATCATTGTGTCAAATTTCATAATTTTCTATCGGGCCAATTGCTCCAGAATTGCAAGTCAGCCTAAGTTGAACAAAACTACACTGTTGTGGAAGATTGAAGAGTTGAAGACATTCCTTATTTTTCCTAGTGGTGTACGATATATACCTGGAAAGCTTATAGATAAAGCTACAATTCCTATATTTTTCCAGAAGTGGAACAAACCCATAACATGAGTCCAAGTTGGCTGATGTGTTTCCCAATGAAAGAAGGATTTTTGTCCTAGTTTGTTTCCTTAATTGTTTAGGATTTTTTTCTTCTTGTTTTAGGAGAGTTTTTCCTAACCTTTTTAAAAGTAATGTTTAGTTATAAGGCCACCCTAAGCTCTCTCAACCCTAACACCATCCAATTCCTCAACACTCTTACCCATAGCCGACACATCCTAAGGAGGAGAAGAGGAGAGCTCATAAAACCTTGGCATTCTACTTGAAGCATTCGGCGCCTTTCATGTCTTCGTCAATCATCATGTTTTTCCATAAGTCTTTCATGAACTAATTTCTTTTTACTAGGGCTACAACGTAGCCTAGCTATGAATACTTAAATTCTTTGATACTGTTAATTCTATTTATATATGCATGTTGAGTGCTTGTTATCGTTCTTAATGCTTTCAATTAATTGACCACTAATTGCATGATTGGAGGAATTGAGTTGGGATTGGAAGGAGAGGCCTAATAAATAAGCCTATAAATAGGAGGCCTCAAGACGACAAAAGAAAAAAAGGCTTGGACAGACCCAAGCACTCAGAAGAAACAGAAAACTCTCTGCATTCTTCACCTCACTTCGGAAGAGCCACCAAGCACAACAAATACGTGTGATTAGAGTGGGTAAATGGTAAGGAACACAACTAGTATAACTTGGAAAAGAGTATTGGTGAGGTAAGGAGAAACGATTATCAACATGTTAGGTAAATCAGGATTAACAAGCTAGGAGGATATGAGTGGGATTAGCTAGGTGAAATCGGTGTCCTGTGCCTTATTGTCCTTGGTTTCATCTTTTACATTGTTTACTAATTCTGAATTTACTTGCTTATTTAGATTTTTGTCATCATGAATCTTTTATTGTTAAATTCAAATATACTTAGGAATAAATCACTCTAGTACTTAATAGATTAAATTGATCCCTGTCAAAACGATACTCTACTTACTACTATATTAATTTGACAACATTGTCCTCTTGCAATTACATCAGTCATAACGTGACTAATTTTAACAAATAATTTGACCAGCTATAACGAGCAGGACCAAACTGATGTGTGGACCAAAATATTAAGGACCATATCTATTGAATTGAAAATTTGAGAACTCAAATGAAGACAAAACTATTCATGATAAAAATTCTATAAACTGAGAATCGTATAAAGCAACTCATCGTATAACCATGAGAATCGTACAAATTAAAACTTTATAAACTAGAAAGAAAAGGATGCAGTTAAACAAACCCTAGAATTAACTGAGTACACCCTACCACCAAACTATTTATTGAATTACTAATTTACGCTAATATAAAATGACCAAAAATGATATATTAAATTGTGAAACAAATGTTAAATTCATGGTGAAACAACGTCTCATTCTTTCTAAAGTTAAATCCATATTTAGAAGAGATTTACTGCCCGTTTGGTAATGTTTTCGGAGAATGTTTTTAATGGATTTTTTAGAAAATGAAAACAAGAAAATAAATTTGCATTTTCAAGATTCGAGAAAGCGTCTCGTAGCTGAATTGAAAAAAAAAAATCAGAAAACAAAAACACTAAAAACGTGTATAATTTGAAGAGAAATAAAGAATGTTGTATCTTGTAATAAATATGTGAACTATTTTTCCAAGACATTTTTGTTAATGTTCTCATCTAGAAACAAGTAATATAATATAATTCTAATAAAAAAAAACTAGAAATATCTTTTCAAAAAACTAAAAAATATCTTAGCAAAATAAAAGAAAAAATTCTTATGTATTACTCTTATAACCTTTAGTTTTAAAAAATATGAAATTAAATAATATATCATGGTTTGACTAAATAGAGTAATGAAGTGCAACGAAAAAGGAAAAATAATTGACAAAAAATATCTCCCCCACCTCTCAAACGCTCTGGTTCGTTCTCTCTCTCTCTCTCTCAAGTCTTCTAAGAAAATCACAGGAATTTTTTTTTATCGAGGGAAATTCACAGATCTTAAAGCACATATATGTTATGGAGTACAATAGAAGCAAGACTTTAGAATAGCTGCTCTCTCTTCATGGTGGCTGTGGGTTATCGTTATCCTTCAATAGTAGTTGTTGCAAGAGAAATGAACAGTCGGTTGTTGTAAGGAGACTGAGAGCCAACATCCAAGATATGGGTTTCACAAAAAAAACTCCTCCAAGATATGGGAATGAGACAGGCGGGGAGCGAAGGCGCAGAGAGAGAAGTTACATCTTAAAAGTTCAAAGAAAAAGTAAAGAATAGCCGCGTTTTTTGTGTTTTCAGAATACGCTGAAAACGTCGATTTATCGTCTTCAAATTTTGTACATGTATGTGAATAAACGGCGTGCCGAACGCATGTACTTAAGCCTCATTGTCCTCTTGGCAATCCCTACTGTCATTATCCATTTTGACAGGTGAACTCGAAAACCCAAAATGATTTCCTATATAGCAATTATTGATTCATGTCACAATTGCTAACTATAGGCCCATTATTATCAATCAAAATCTAAGATCATGGCAAGAATAACAAGCCTCACTTAAGGGACGTATATTAAGTAGGACACCTCTGGATCAGAAATCCCATGAATCTCAGTAAAACTCGTGCATGAGAATGAGAATAAACTACCATCTTCATCATAATCAAGCAGTTAGGCAAGTTGAGGCATGATTTCATCCTCTCCGTATCCATTTAATATCATTTCTTGGAGGCAACAAGTTTGCTCAACTAAATTAGATCAGAGACAACCATTTCCTCAGCACATGCGTATTGCATACACATAAGAACAGTTTTAAAACTACAAATGAACAAATGCATTACAGACAAGCACATGTGGAACAGATGTTACCTAACTGATTTCCCTCAATGACCAGAAGCAAGCAGGACATCTCAAATCTTTCCAGAAAATGAGAAAACAAACTGAAATGCTGTAGATGGCTTTATGATTGGGCTATAAATAAGAATCATAGTTTTCTTTTCTTTGTTTAATAATTTAAAACAATCAAGGTAAAATTGAGTCTAATATTTGACAAAACTTGAAGAGAATCAAAAATCAGTTACGTACTTTGAAGTTTGGACGGCGGCTTTGGTGGCGTTAAGCAATAAGTTCGGCAACAAGGTGGGTTTGGTGGTCTGATAGTGTTCAATAGCCAGCTCTCGAATGGGTTTGGCGTTGTGTGATAGAGTGTATTAGAGTGTACCTTGGATATTTTTGGTAGTCAAATATGGTGTACTTAGGTAATTTTACATTTTGATTTATATATTAGGGTGTACTTAGATCATAGAGTGTACTCAGTTAATTTTAGGATTCGTTTAACAACAGCTACGCATTCCGAAAGTGTCGAGAAGTCATGAAATTATGCTTTTGTTGCTGCTTGTGAGTATATTTCCATGCAGTATGAAATTTGCAGTAAACTGAGGCTAAAAGAGATACATTTGGATTAGCGTTGATCCTTGGAGGGTGATTTTACTATCATAAAGAATTGCTTTTCTTCTTATAATGTTAAGTGCTTCTGTGACCAGAGAAAGAGACTCAAAGCAATGAAGTGGTTGAAAGTATTTCAAATCTTATGTATATTACTATACCTTCTTTCAACATTGCAACTATGTCCACGTATGTAAATACAAACTGTCGATTCACAGGCATTGAATCTACAGATAACACCGAAAAAATATACATGCTCTAGCTCTACAATGAAAACTTGAAACTATATTTTTTTTCCCTTCCAAATTTTCTTAATATAATTCTTTAATTAATTTTTCATATTGTGTCCCGATTTTACCTCTGGCAAAAAGTTCTCCAAATCCATTAAGCCCTTTTGCTGATAACAGTAACAAAGGACAATCCGCCATCACTGAACTTTAAGGATTTTCGTCAATCATCTGCTGCAATCAAAATTTATACTACCCTTGCAGTATTCAGGTTTGGGTGTAAATTACGTGGTTCCACACTATTTATGTGGCACTGCATTCCTTCTTCAATGAGCTCTGGTGGCCTCTCAGAGTCCACCAGGATGTCCTCCAGAGTTGCAAGTGACTTCAACTGTTGGCCAAGAGATGCAATTGTTTTCTGGCACTCCGCAAATCTATTCGCAGCCAATGCTAGTTCTTTCTCCTGCCACAGACAAGCACACGTCAAAATCCGCATATATGAAGAATAATAGATAGATGTAACATCACAATCTTTCATTTCTTATTTCAGAATTGCACATAGCTGGTCGTGTCATTAGATGCAAGTCAACCAAAGAATTGTTATGGACCTCGCCTTACTTTCATAATTCACATCAAAAGAATTGGCTTTTATACTTGCAAAACCTGTACATGCGTGTCATTTGAAAAATACCTTGTTTAATTAAAAGTTAGATAGTAGAAGTACATTTTCATGTTCAGAAAAATTGAGAACTGCTTGAACTTCAATCAAGAAAGTATCTAAGAATTACTAAGATTAAAAGCCCTTTCTTTCTTTTTCACCTTTGTGACAAAGTTTGAAGTCTCAACTCAAACCAACTAACTTACAGGAGGACAGAGAATTTGTTTCACCATAAACATCAGTTTGCTTATTGCATAAATTAAGATAAAGCGTAATATGGACTATTTTGGGAATATATTAATTTAAAGTGAAAATATCCAGAGGCTTGCAAGTATGGTCATACAAAAATTAATGGAAAGGTAGTACTTAGATGACCATGTCCACAAGATTCATAATTAATTGCAAAAAAGGCTTTACATATATTTGGTTTCCTTTGCATGTACGGGTTCGCTTCTATATCTGGGGTTTAAGAGGAAACCCAAGATGACAGGACATATTTTTGTCATAAACAAAAGCTGGATCCACTGTGATCCTTGACTCTTGATGACCAAAAGTCCTTGAGGGGATAAGTATCTGGTAATGTTAATATTGTGGCTCACTCCAATCTCCTGTGTTTTTTTTTTCGCTTAAACGGAGGTCATATTTTAGTAGTAATCAAATCTTGGGTCCAGTATGACTTTTGCCTCTTGCAAAGAAAATCAGGGAATATGTATCTAATCATGCAAATATCACAGTTCATTTCACTCTACTGGGCATTATTTCTTTATATGGACTTGATTTGATCATCATATGCCGCCACGGGGATAAAGATGGCTGTGTCTAGGCTGTGTCTGGGATCCTAAATACTCTCAACTTTTTATGTCCCACAAAGGGTAAACAGAAGTGACCCAGGTGTCTTCATTTGCCTTAATGAGTCCTGTGCAGGTATTAGGATCAGTTGGAGGTACCCTTGTCACATGTTGTCTAACCTGTTCCAAGCAGTTCAACTTTGGGACCAATCCATTTAATCACAACACATATGTCATTGAGAGTGGTGTCTCTACCAAAAGATCCTAACATAGGTTGTGCTTCAGCTGCTTGTCTGCAACCTTAGAGGACACTTGCCTTGACTGGCTTTGTCCAGTCATGGGTTTGTGCCATATCCAACTCGAGATCTTTCAACCATCCTGTACTTATTCGGGCCACAAGAAGAGTCACTCCATCTGGGCATACTGTGATGACGTAACCCACAGTAATTTTGTATGCAAACACATTGTCAGAGGATAATTATGAGGAAGGAGCAGATTTATATGGTATTAAGCACCATGAACCTTTGGGTTCATTTCATCATCATCCGTTCCATAATCCCCATCATACTGTCAAGCCATTTGAACTCTCATCTTTCATTCTTTTCAATTATATGCAGGATTTCCTATCAGATATATTTTTTTCAGATCGTTTCATATTACATCTTCCCATGTTAGTCATGGCCCTGTACTACTAGTCTTATTTTGATTAAAGTACTTCTAATGGTATGCATTTGTATATTATCCAAATACCACTAAAGCCCAATTCTTCTTATACAATCCCTAGCACGTCCTATTGTATATCCAAAATATAAACTTTTAGATTTCTTTTCTACCCAATCCTACCATCGATCTAGCATTCTCATTTTCGCTACATTGTTTTGATTTTTCCTTCAACTCCAACATTTATAGTTACTATTAACTGAAAATTGGTTTTTGTACTAGATATTAGTTTCTTTAGCATATCTAAAATAAGACAGTCACCAAGTCTTAGCGTGTCCAAGCAAACTAACCTGCTTTATCTTCAATTCACCATTAGTACTGGCCAACCGCTGGAGCTCAACCTCACGCTGGCGCTCAGCTTCATGTGTCATACTAAATAGTTCATTCTCCAGTTTCTGGCATTTGGCCACATTTTCAGCTGACAAATTTCGCTCCTTCCAAACCTCTTCTTCTAGTGAACCAACTTTTAAAAGCAAGGAGTTGAATTCAGTTTGAATAGCTCTTAGTTGCGACTCTGCCACTACTCTCATTGTTTGATAAGTCTTTACTTCCTCATCTGCAGCATACACTGAGTCATTTGCAAGAGCTAACTCTCTTTTAAGGTCTTCCAACTTCATATCAGCCTCCACTAGTTGACTTTGTGATGTCTCAAGCTGCTTTTGACACTCAGTCAGAGTCATCTCAAGTTCCACTTTTTCTGCTGCCATCTTCTCTAACTTCCTCTCAAGTTCCGCGGCCCTTTGAATCATGGTTTCAAATTCAGTTTTTAAAGGGTTTTCTCCAGTTTGAGGTTGATATTCAATTCCCAACTCAAGATGACAGCTGTCATTTTCTGTATCTGACAATGCAGCAAGCCGCTCCATTTCAAGAAAATCATCCATGAGATTGATTTCTTCTGAAGGGTCCATAAGATTTTTTCCAAAATCCTTCTCATTCTTAAACTGACCATGTTCTGTGATTTGAGCTGATGCCCGTGAATCTGACTGGCTTGGATCATATTGACTTGGATACAAGCCACTCACTTTATGTGGATCTGGATCAATTGCCAGTACCCTCTCCCCACTATCTGACTGGCTATCTGTAAAAGATTCTATGTATACTGAGGATGTAGAAAACGGTTTGTGATCATTAGCAGGCAATGTTTTACGAGTCAAGGCTTTTAGCCTACGGCACTCAGCTTCAAGCTTGGACACCCTCTTTATGCTCTCTAAATATTGCTTACTGGCTGTTTCTGCAGTTTGTGCGTTCAAATCCCTCTCTATAGTCCTGACTTCTAGCTCCTTCACTCGAGAAAGAAGCTTAAGTTGAAGAGCAGAGTTCTCTTTTTCAGTAGCCTCAAGCTTTGAGCGCAAATCAAAATCAATTGAGGCAGCAGCTTCAGTATTAGCAGTCTGAAGTTGAGCCTGGAGATCAACAAGCTGACTCTGAAGCATGGACTTTGAGGATTCCCATTCACGAGTTTTTATGGCAACAACTTCTCGGGTATTCTGGTCTTGCTCTTCTCTTGCCTGTCGAATCTGCCTCACGCATTCCTTTAGTGCTCCATCAAGATGACCAACTCGGTCTTCAAGAGCTGAGTTTTTCTGATTTGCAGCCTCAAGTTGCTGTTTTAAACCCAACACTTCATTTTCAGCCTTCTCCCAGCCTAACATTTGAAATGGCAAAGAGAAACAACTAATTCCCTTTCAGAATAAGGAAATGTAATAAAAGGTAAAAGTAATTATGACATACCATTGACCCTAAAACGGAACAGCTCAGCAACACCCAATATTTTCCATTTCTATAAACTCAGGGCACCCATTCTAGAAATACTTGAAGAAAGATAAGATGAGTGAACCTCCCCTAGAAACATTAAGAATGACTTTCATGAAACTCTTGGTCTTCGAAAATGAAAATTGTTTCGTCATAATCTCATTGCCGATTAAGCATAAGTATAATATAAAAGGGATACAACGTCTTTAAATACCATTCATGAAAGGGTTTAGACAAAAAGGTACCATTCATAATAAAATGTGCCCAGAAAGAGTAAGAAATTGCAGTTGATAAACAGTTTTGCATCTATTTATTTTGTCTACATGTTTTCTCTTATTTAGGATATCTATGTTGGAATTTCCATCCTTAGTTAAAGTTAAATGCGAGGGAACAAAATGAAAGCCAGAAAAAGTTCAAACCTGAGACAGCTTCTTCTGTAACTTTAGCATGCTGCTTTACCAACTCATCTTTGGCACTACTATTAAGAATGGCGGCTGATAATTTCTCTGTCAAAGTCTCGACACTTTCATTATCTTCTTCTTCAATGCGTGGAGCTTTAGAAGTGACTTCTGGCAATAGAGTGCTATGAGTTGGATTTGCCTTTGACATAAAAGAAAGAAAAATTAGAATTTAGTCAACCACATCACTTAAACAGACAAATATCCATACACCTGAAAAACAAATATTCAGCTGGCACTCAAAAACATATGAAAGTTTTTAATTGTTGATCATTCCCTTGCTCTTTCACCTTGGTTTAGAGAGTCTGATAAAGGCAGTTTACCACTAAATTTAAGAAAAATAGCCTTGCTTTTTAGCCATCATAAAACATGGACATATATAGGTATCAGAGGGTTTCCATGTTTCTCAAATTAAAATTAGAAAGCTCAATGTATATAGGTTATATATGGAGAATTCCTTTGGAATGTGACAAATAAAAGGGCATGAGGACTATTACGTATCCTCATAGATTGACAAGGAATACTAGTATTCCAAACACGTTAAGTAAGAACGTAACTTATCAATGTTTTTGTCATGCAGTGGATCATCTAAAAATGGCAGAACACAAAGGTGGGATTTTTTGTAATGATAAGTAGCTACATGCAAAATAGCAGAATTTACCAAGATAAAGAGTATTCATTCTATTGAAATTGTACATGTAATTGTATAATCAAAGCGACGAAACCAGCACTATATATATATATATATATATATATATATATATATATATATATATATATATATATATATATATATATATATATATATATATATATATATATATATATATATATATATATATATATATATATATATATATATATATATATATATATATATATATATATATATATATATATATATATATATATATATATATATATATATATATATATATATATATATATATATATATATATATATATATATATATATATATATATATATATATATATATATATATATATATATATATATATATATATATATATATATATATATATATATATATATATATATATATATATATATATATATATATATATATATATATATATATATATATATATATATATATATATATATATATATATATATATATATATATATATATATATATATATATATATATATATATATATATATATATATATATATATATATATATATATATATATATATATATATATATATATATATATATATATATATATATATATATATATATATATATATATATATATATATATATATATATATATATATATGCAGACATGGTTTTATGCAATGGAAAGCAGCAATGATGATTAAGTATCGACCAACTAATCACAATTACAAAATTTTCAAAATATCATAGAACTGGTTAATCCAATTATGAAAAGGCAAAATATTGAATTTTATCAGAACAATGTCAACGCCATCTACCTGATCATCAGAAAATCTTTCAGAATGAGAAGACATCGATCCTGAACTCTCAGTCTCGCCGGGACTCTTCTCTGATGACTTCCTTCGCCATAGCCGACTCCGCCTGTCCATCTTGAATTTCAGCGAAGCAGCATCTCAGTAGAAATCATCAATGCATCATTACAGAGCACCACACCACCTTGAGACCCTTGTGCTTGAAACTTAAGTGATATCTGAGTGTCCAAATCTGGGAAAGGTTAAAACCAATCATAATTTAAAACCCAGTTGTCTCTTTGGTTTGTATGGGAAATTCTGAGCTTCTAAACCATGCAAAAGAAAATCCAAAGTAAGCCATAAAGATGAAGCTAAACTGCCGGACCAATATCTGGTAATTGATTCTCAGCTTTGCTTAGAACTCACTTCTAGTCCGATCTAATCTCAACCAACAAACCAAAGACTGTGTATTAAAAAAAAAGGTAATAATATAAAACTGAATAGTTGCCAAATATATCATTAGAATGGAGAATCGTTGAGACCCTATTTTGAAGACTAATGTTTCTTGGTAAATAACTTCAAACGCACAACTCGAACACACTAACTTGCTGAGCACCTACCCAAGTCCTCAATTTTACGCCATACTAGTTTATATGAGAGAGAGAGAGAGAGAGAGAGAGAGAGAGAGGGACCACCGTGGGTGTGAAATAGATGGGTACCCATTTCACAATATCTAGCCAAACGAAGAAATAGCGAAGACCCAAATTATCACACAAAAGTAAGAAATTGCTGATACCCATTTCAAAATATATGAAAATTGAGAGACCCATGAAGACTAAACAATAAATTTGGAGCAGACACCCCCTGAACTGAACGAATGAATTCAATCAATCAGATAAGATACCTATTGACTGCAATCAATCAGATAAGATACCTATTGACTGCATGCATACAAGGACTGAGCCAGGACAGACAGGCCATGAGAATTGAGATTACAAGGAAGGATTTCTAATCTAACTAAAATAGGGATTCAAGTGGTAAAAAAATGAGCTGAACGGTAAGTTGGAGAAACCACCTGCAGGCAGAGATTTGCGGCATTTCGGAAGAGCTTTCTTTCACACATACTGTTGAAAGTAAGGGGAAATTGCCGTAGTCGTAGAAGTAAGTAGGTCCATGAGACTGTGAACGCGAAAAGGACCAAACTTGCTTTTTCCATCGCCATCGTCAGCTCTGCTTTGTCTTCTCTCTTGACTTTCAAGTGGAGGTAGCGCCCTTCCCGTCGCCCATGGATGCGCGGTTTCACCGCCATCATTCATTCCTGATTAATTGTTAATTAATGGTAATTATTAGGGAGTTTTGATTAAATGTTACTACGGTATCTTGGTCGTTGCTAGATCTAAGTGCCCGTTTGGCATTGCTTATTTGGGGTGATAAGTGATTTTTAAAAAATTTTGGGAAGCCCAACCCATTTGGTAAACTATGAGAAAATTACTTATTGTTAAAAATTATTGTGAGAGAAAGTTATAAGGGAAAACAGCTAATCAGGTGCTTTCATTTTTTGATTATGTAGGAATTAGTTTCAAAGAGGTGCTGAGTTTAATAATTATGTGGCAATAATTTTTTGATTATGCGGGAATCAGTACCAACAACACTTTTAACAAAAAGTTTACCAAACGCCAAATTGCTTTCTTTCACAGCTTATTGCTCTCACAGCAAATCTAACAGCGATTATTTTCACAGCACAGCAATGCCAAACTGGCAATAAACATTGGGTAGAAATTATAGGGCATTGGATTTTGTATTTTAGTGTCTATAGGGTTTATGTGAGTATAAAAATTCTTATTTTCATGTTCTTAAAAAAATTTAATTTTTACAACTTTAAAATGATATATTTATGTAGAATTTGAAAGCAGGAGTGTTTTGGTATAAATTATGCGTGAATTGGTGCTAAAATTAATATTTTTTTAAAAAAAATTGACTTTCTACTTTTAAAGTAAATGTTATGAAACTCAAGAAAAATCGTGAAAAGGAGATTGGTGTAGTGGTTGTCGGTAGTGTTTCTTCCTTTGAGGTCAAAGGTTTAAATCTCTCAAATGGCATAAAGTGCAGTGGCGGAGCCAGAAAAGTATAAACAGAGAAATATAATTTGGCTCAGAAAAGTATGATTGCATTAAGAAGACAATAGCCTCAATGAAGATTTGAGAGGGGGCACATGCCCACCCTGGGCCATAACTAGACCTGGCAATATTGCACACGACCCGTTAACACGACACGAATTCGCACGAAATTATCAGTATTTGGGTTGAGCTTAATGGGTCGGGTTGAAAAAGGGATTGGCTAAGAAAAGTGCAGTGGCGGAGACAGAAAAGTACAAAGAGAGAAATAAAATTTGGCTAAGAAAAGTATGATTGCATTAAGAAGACAATAGCCTCAATGAAGATTTGAGAGGGGGCACATGCCCACCCTGAGCCTTAGCTCCCTCCTCCATTGATAAAGTATTTATATTTTGAATTGTAAGAGACACACCACATACATTGTTGGTTGGCTGGAGGGAGGTGGTGGACGGTCGGGGATTGGTTGCCGGTGGTGGTGGTAGCCGAAGTTGGGTCGTCGGCTGTGGCGGGCAGTAGTGGTGGCCAGAAGGGTTGCGGGTTGTTGGAGGTGGACATGTGGCATTGTGTGATTGACATAGATGGAGTGGCAATGTGTAATTTTGAGGTTTTTTAATTATGTTATTTTAAAATTAAATGTTATATTTTTAGTTCTTGACCTTATCTAGATTATTTGAAATTGAGTTATTATCTACCACAATAATAAACTTCCTATTGAGTTTAAACCAAAACTCCCTTTATAATATGGGTGGACGATAAAGTTGATATTTCGCCTTTTAAGGAATAATATTTGTTGAACCAAAAAAATTCACAAAAAAATAATAATTAAGGATTAGATAAGCCCCACAACGCTAGGTGGGTATGATTCCCACATGACACTTGTTTTCAAAACAACATTGAAACAACATGTATATCTCAAATGGCATAACGTGTTTTTTTTTTAAATTGTAAGAGGCACACCACATACATTGTTGGTTGGCTGGAAGGAGGTGGTGGACGACCTGAGATTGGTCGCCAGTGGGGGTGGCAGCCGGAGTTGGGTCGTCGGCTGTGGCGGGCAGTAGTGGTGGCCGGAAGAGTTGCGGGTTGTCGGAGGTAGACATGTGGCACTGTGTGATTGACTTAGATGGAGTGGCAATGTGTGTATTTTTGAGGTTTTTTAATTACGTTATTTTAAAATTAAATGTTATATTTTTAGTTATTGACCTTATCTAGAATATTTGAAACTGAGTTATTATCTACCACAATAATAAACTTCCTATTGAGTTTAAACCAAAACTCCCTTTATAATATGGGTGGAAGATAAAGTTGATATTTCGCCTTTTAAGGAATAATATTTGTTGAACCAAAAAAATTCACAAAAAAAATAAATTTGTGGGTTTAGATAAGCCCCACAACGTTAGGTGGGTAAGATTCCCACATGACACTTGTTTTCAAAACAACTTTGAAACAACATGTATCTCTCAAATGGCATAACGTGTTTTTTTTTTTTAATTTCCAGAGGCACACCACATACATTGTTTGTTGGCTGGAAGCAGGTGGTGGACGGTCTGGGATTGGTCGCCAGTGGTGGTGGCAGCCGGAGTTGGGTCGTCGGTTGTGGCGGGCAATGGTGGTGGCCGGAAGAATTGTGGGTTGTCGGAGGTAGACATGTGACACTGTGTGATTGACTTAGATCGAGTGGTAATGTGTGTAATTTTGAGGTTTTTTAATTACGTTATTTTAAAATTAAATTTTATATTTTTAGTTATTGACCTTATCTAGATTATTTGAAACTGAGTTATTATCTACCACAACAATAAACTTCCTATTGAGTTTAAACCAAAACTCCCTTTATAATATGGGTGGGCGATAAAGTTGATATTTCGCCTTTTAAGGGATAATATTTGTTCAACCAAAAAATTCACAAAACGAAAAAATTTGTGGGTTTAGATAAGCCCCACAACGTTAGGTGGGTATGATTCTCACATGACACTTGTTTTCAAAATAACTTTGAAACAACATGTATATCTCAAATGGCATAACGTGTTTTTTTTTTTAATTTCCAGAGGCACACCACATACATTGTTGGTTGGCCGGAGGGAGGTGGTGGACGGTCGGGGATTGGTCGTCGGTGGTGGTGGCAGCCGGAGCTGGGTCATCGGCTGTGGCGGGCAGTGGTGGTGGCCAGAAGGGTTGTGGCTTGTCGGAAGTAGACATGTGGCATTGTGTGATTGACTTAGACGGAGTGGCAATGTGTGTAATTTTGAGGTTTTTTAATTACGTTATTTTAAAATTATATGTTATATTTTTAGTTATTGACCTTATCTATATTATTTGAAACTGAGTTATTATCTACCACAATAATAAACTTTCTATTGAATTTAAACCAAAACTCCCTTTATAATATGGGTGGAAGATAAAGTTGATATTTCGCCTTTGAAGGAATACTATTTGTTGAACCAAAAAAATTCACAAAAAAAATAAATTTGTGGGTTTAGATAAGCCCCACAACGTTAGGTGGGTATAATTCCCACATGACACTTGTTTTTAAAACAACTTTGAAACAATATGTATCTCTCAAATGGCATAACGTGTTTTTTTTTTAAATTGTAAGAGGCACACCACATACATTGTTGGTTGGCTGGAAGGAGGTGGGGGACGGTCTGGGATTGGTCGCCAGTGGTGGGGGCAGCCGGAGTTGGGTCGTCGGCTGTGGCGGGCAGTTGTGGTGGCCGAAAGAGTTGTGGGTTGACGGCGGTAGACATGTGGCGTGTGATTGACTTAGATAGAGTGGCAATGTGTGTAATTTTGAGGTTTTTTAATTACGTTGTTTTAAAATTAAATATTATATTTTTAGTTATTGACCTTATCTAGATTATTTGAAAATGAGTTATTATCTACCACAACAATAAACTTCCTATTGAGTTTAAACCAAAACTCCCTTTATAATATGGGTGGGCGATAAAGTTGATATTTCGCCTTTCAAGGAATAATATTTGTTGAACCAAAAAAATTCACAAAAAGAAAAAATTTGTGGGGTTAGATAAGCCCCACAACGTTAGGTGGGTATGATTCCCACATGACACTTGTTTCCAAAATAACTTTGAAACAACATGTATATCTCAAATGGCATAACGTACTTTTTTGTTTCAAATTTCCAGAGGCACACCACATACATTGTTGGTTGGCTGGAGGGAGGTGGTGGACGGTCGGGGATTGGTCGCCGGTGGTGGTGGCAACCGAAGCTGGGTCATCGGCTGTGGTGGGCAGTGGTGGTGGCTAGAAGGGTTGCGGCTTGTCGGAGGTAGACATATGACATTATGTGATTGGCTTAGATGGAGTGGCAATGTGTGTAATTTTGAGGTTTTTTAATTACGTTATTTTAAAATTAAATGTTATATTTTTAGTTTTTGACCTTATCTAGATTATTTGAAACTGAGTTATTATCTACCACAATAATAAACTTCCTATTGAGTTTAAACCAAAACTCCCTTTATAATATGGGTGGAAGATAAAGTTGATATTTCGCCTTTTAAGGAATAATATTTGTTGAACAAAAAAAATTCACAAAAAAAAAAATTTGTGGGTTTAGATAAGCCCCGCAACGTTAGGTGGGTATGATTCCCACACGACACTTATTTTCAAAACAACTTTGAAACAACATGTATCTCTTAAATGGCATAATGTGTTTTTATTTTTATTTTTCAAATTGTAAGAGGCACACCACATACATTGTTGGTTGGCTGGAGGGAGGTGGTGGACGGTCAGGGATTGGTCGCTGGTGGTGGTGGCAGTCGAAGTTGGGTCGTCGGCTGTGGCGGGCAGTGGTGGTGGCAGGAAGTGTTGCGGGTTGTCGGAGGTGGACATGTGGCATTGTGTGATTGACTTAGATCGAGTGGCAATGTGTGTAATTTTGAGGTTTTTTAATTTCGTTATTTTAAAATTAAATGTTATATTTTTAATTATTGACCTTGTCTAGATTATTTGAAATTGAGTTATTGTCTACCACAACAATAAATTTCCTATTGAGTTTAAACCAAAACTCCCTTTATAATATGGGTGGACGATAACGTGTTTTTTTTTTTAATTGCAAGAGGCACACCACATACATTGTTGGTTGCCTGGAGGGAGGCGGTGGACGGTCGTGGATTGGTCGCCGGTGGTGGTGGCAGCTGGAGTTGGGTTGTTGGCTGTGGCGGGCAGTGGTGA